ACAAGATTGAATAGATGGAGAAAACAAACTTAGATCATAATCAGCTCTGCAATCAGCTCTTCAAACACGTTCCATGACACAAGTTGATTTAAAGATGGGAATTTGTATGGTTTTTGCTTTGATCGGTCGCGAATGAACTTTGTGTCTTGTCTTTCTAACTTTGACCATAATCTTAAAATCACACCTGTAAAACTCTCATACTTTTAGCAAAAACAAAGTTTGTAACAATAAAACCAAAACTTTCACATAATCAAAGCAAAAAGAATAGGCAATGTTAACAGCAATATCTTCTCCTCTCAGACAAACGCTTACAATAAGAAAAAGCAATCTCTACGGTTTTATTAGGCACGTAAGATTGATCGCACTGTCTTATGATTCTTCTACTCTTAATCTCATTGGCATCCTATTTTGCACTGCTTTATGATTTTTCTACTCTCCCCGCCATACACAACAAATCAATAAGGGTTATGTAATTCTCGCCGGGACTCGCCTCTCCTCGCCAGAATTGTTCTATTCTCGTCATAATTGTCCTTTTCTTGCCGGAATTAACTTCATTTCCTCCTAAGTCGCTTGAATAATCGAAGTGAGAGATTTCTGGGTGCAAAAGATAAATCAAATCTCTTTTCTGTCATAACTAACGTCTCCGTCAAACAAAATAACAGTTGACTTTTTAGAGTTTAATTTTGCTCAGACAACATTTACTTGAGGATTAAAACTGCATAAACAGAAGTTGAGTATTAAAAGTGTTGATTACAAATACTTGGGGAATTAAAAACCCATTTTCCCAACTAGGAAACGATATTTTTAGGTTTTCCTTTTTTGCAATTTTTTTTCTCTACTATGAAGTAATCAAGAGTGTAGCAATCTAATGGAGGGTATACAAACATAATCATAACACAATTAGTTTTCTGATAATAGATATATTGTTATTGGAATATAAATTTATGTTGTCAAAATCATTATTGAAATACATATAGCATTTTTGATCTAAAAGTATGAAAATCTCATAAAAAGGAAATTTTAAAATTTTCCTTATTATTTCTCTCATATTTAGACTATAATTTTAGTTAGAACTGGTGTATACTTTATGAACAAATAAACAAAAGAAAATACTTTGTTAAAAAAATTATGATGCACATAAGTACACCAAATATATAGAAAACCATACAAAATCCCATATTAATACTAAATGTACATTTTCTTTAAATTAACCATACAATCAAATGTAGTGACGGATCTAAAAAAAAAATTTAAGTTGGGAAAAAAAATTTACTTGATATTCTGAGAAAAAATACCTTATATAACATGTATGAGAAGGAAAAAGTAGTACAAGGATGTTTGAACTTTGGTTAGAGTGGGGGCAAAGAATGATTTTTAACCAATTAAACTAGAGAATTTTGAACCGTGTTTATGTATTTAAACATTTTGTTTTTTTACATAGTGGTGATAGTTGAACCCTTGCTACATAATGTACGTCCGCCACTGATCAAATGATGACTAACTTGCCACTAAACATGATTTACTAACATATATATAAGACATGCACCACAAGTGTGATAACTGATATCTGGTAATTTAGCAAATTCAACAATATTTTGATTGATAATCTCTCACAGGAAAATGAAGGTTTCTAACTTTCTCATTTTCTTTTGCCTCATATTCCTCATAGCTTGTAAGTATTAATCTTTTAGATGCTAGACCTTCATACGGGATTTTTCTAGATTTTGTTAGTTTTTAAATCTAAATATAATTAAGCAACTATAACCCGTTTCAACACTCTCGTTTAGGGCTGGGCATTCGGGGTCCCAATCGGGTTTCGGTTCGGGTTCATTCGGGTTTCGGATTTTCGGGTTCATGAATTTCAACCCCATTCGGATATTATAAAAATTCGGGTCGGATTCGGTTCGGGTTTAATCGGGTTAGGTTCGGATTTAGTAACATGTCCAAAATCCAGTTGAACCCGGAATAGTTTCGGTTTCGGATACTTATTGGGTTATCGATTCTAAAAATACTAATTTATACTTAATTAAATTCACTATATTTTCAATCTTTTTATTAAATTGTGTATTTAGCTTCTATAAACCGTATTGTTCTGCTTCTAAATAATATTATGAAACTCATCTATCAACAATATAAGATTTGTCATTGAACTATATGTGACAACACTAAACATATCATGATTAATGATAAACCAAAGTCTTGTATGAACGAAAATCATACATAATGAAACATAAAAAGTTAAAGTTAACAACTAACAATTATATAAACGTAAGAAGTAATATAGAAATTTTATCTATGTATTTAACTCTTCATTTTAAAATTTATAAACTTGTCTAACTATAATAAAATTTTAAACATCTAATTCTTTTTATTCAAACTTTTTAAACATTTAATTAATTAATTTTTCATAATGTTTTTTAGCTATACCATTAAGTTACATAGATTTTCTAAATAACTATTAAAGTAAGTAAAGTAATTTTTTGTTCTCTCTTACTTTTATATTTGTTTCACGTATTAATTTTTTAAATTACTATTAAAATGCATGGCCTATCTTCTAGATATGAGAGTAATATACTCCTCAATTCTCTAAATATTCTTACAAAAGTGGAAGATCAATTTGGAACACAAAAACATTAATGGAAATATCTTTCTTAGTACAAAAAATGCAAATTTTGATATTTTGGTTAGTTTTATGTTTGATTTGACACGTTTTTTTTGGTTAAAGGATCTACTTGATATTGAGAAAGTTAATCTTATATTCATGTCAATAATTGATGTGACCATGACTGGGGAAGAAGGTGCACTCTATTTCATGATGATCTTATAAACCGACACGAATTTAAGGGAGGGATGTAGCTTCATGTGCAAAACATGTGGAAATTTTTTTCATCAGGTCAAGGTCAAACGTTCGAAGCTACCGGTTCAACCATACCAGAAACAAGAACACAAAATAACTTCAAAAGTAGATAATGAAACACATGTTTATGTAGTTTGTTTATAGGTTTTTGTTCACCAAACCAAAACACATTGAATCAAGTTTTGGTGTTAAAGAAAATTTGGAACATATGATAATGCTAGATCTCAACTTTCTTCCACAAAACGACAAAAACTGAAGAAACATGTAGTATTGAGAAGGTTAATCATTTATTTATGTCTATAATTGAATGGGTAGTTTGTTCTCCCATGATTTTTGGAGTTCTTGTGTAGATGTGTGTATTTTTGTGTTTAGATCAACAATTTCTCTCAAAATATAACATACTATTTAAAATTCAGATTAATAAAAGATATAACATACCGTTTAAGACTTAGATTAACAAACAAAACAGGCTAAACAGACATTTCTACAAAAACGTTAATGACATCAACATAGATTCTCACATATCAATCATCACAGATTTCAGTACCATATGACTCTTGACACTCATAAAATAAGTATTTATTCACATTCTTTTCACGAGAGAAGCGTGTCCTGGTTTAGCATGTATTCACCCAACTCACACAATGGAATGAAGTCTACAGCTCTTCCATCTTTTTAACAAAAAGATTATGTTCCTTTGGAATTCAGTCAATGAAATCCTGAATTGAGAGGTGGTCTTTGAGCGGCATTTTCCCCTTCCTCTTCAAGAGGTACTAATAGATATAATGTTATTGGAATATAAATTTATGTTCTCAAAAAATCATTATTGAAATATATAGCAATTTAATCTAAAAGTATGAAAAACTTATTCAAAGGAAGTTTAATATTTCCTAATTATTTTTCTCATATTTAGACTATAATTTTAGTTAAAATTGGTATAAACTTTATGGACAATTAAAAAGAAATTTACTTTGTTAAAGATTTTATGATGCACAAAAAAAAAAAAAAAATCATACAAAATTTCATACTGATATCCATCAGGTCAAGCACTCATGGCTGAGGATTTATCTTCTATTTACTTTGTCAATCCCATGGTAATACATCTTCTATTTATGTCTATAGTTGATGTGACCAAGACTGAGGAAAGAAGGTGCACTATGTCTCATGATGCTCTTAGAAACCGACACGAACATAGTAATACATCTTCTATTTATGTAATTTTTGTGGTTTTTAAAGTAGAATAAACAAAACAAAATTTCACAATCTTTTCCTATATAATACTATCTAACAAATAATTATTAGAAACTTGAAAAATTATCCAAATAATTCATAAGTACTTATAAATAGTACATAATTGATGGCGGCAAATAACTTGGAAGTACCATAATCTTGGATAAGTATTCGAAATAACAAAGCATATATTTTCGAGAAAGCAAATACAAATCCGAAAAATTCATTATTCGTTCAAGACAAACTAAGTATCAAAGATACATAAAAGCATAAGTATTCGTCTTGCTTCCATCCCTACATCTAAACACCATAAAATATTCAAATTACAGTTAGCTAAGCAGATTAAGCTCTTTAGAGTGTTCTCTCTGCCTCTAACACACCAATAAATGTTCATAGTACTTTTTGGTGCATTATCAATTCTGACATTATTATACAATAGTAAAACATTACTACACGAGAATCTCGGTGTAGTCGAGATCATTCATTAACTCACGATTTATCTTTAGTCAGTTCGGAGCTATGGAAGATGGGAAGACTTTTACTAATTAAGTACTGTATTTGTAAATTATCAATGTGAAAAACGTACTCCCTCCGTTTCATATTAAGTGTCGTTGTAGAGATTTTTTTACGTTACAAAAAAGTTTCGTTTTTGGTTTTCAATGCAAAATTTATTAATTTTATTATGTAATTTGTTTTTCTATTGGTTAAAATATGTTTAGGTGTATGGGTAACTGTGTTTTTATATAGAAAATATGTAAAATTAATTGTTTCTTTAATCCGTGTGCAAAGCTGTACAGTGACACTTATAATGAAACATAGGGAATATTACCTAGAATGTGTGTATTTTTGTGTGTGTATACAATAAAGTATAAAACTCGAAACGTCATTAATTTTTGTTTATTCAATTAAAAAAATGTAAACGACGTCCAGACTGGCGGGCTGTTCAACGCTAAAGTTAACTGCTACCAAAGAAAAAGAATCTTCTCCTTCTTCTCCTTCTTCTTCCTTCTTCAACGACTAATCTCATCTCCAAATCAATTCCACACCTTTTAATGCTTTACGCGCTTATTTTCCCTTCTTCAAACCTTCCTCTTTTGAAATTTCATCATCTCAGTTTTTTCGGGTTTTCTGGGTAATTGCATCTGATTCGAATTTTTAAACCATTTTAAAAATCCAATCCAACGAGTTTCCCAATTTAGGGTTTCATTCAACTCAAAGCTGAAGTCTTTGTTAGTTTGAGAGATGCTTCCTCGACAAGTCGAATCTTTTGAATCACTTTAAAATTAAAAAAATCTCTCCTTTTCTAGGGTTTATATTCTTCCCCCAAACCATGTTTAACCTTTGAGTTAAGCTTCCTTCCTCCTAACCCTAGATTCAAGATCCAAAAACATGGGATCCAAACCTGAGATCAACGAACCCAACAACACCACTCTTAAAAAAAGCAACCTCCTTTGCCCTCTCGACGTTACATCATCATCTCGTAGAACTCTAATCTCAGATGGCAAACCAAGATCCTGGTCCAACACCGTCCTCCCTTCCCCCTCAGCCAAGTTCAAGAAACTAGCTAACCAAAGAGAAGAACTCTCCCGCTCAGTCAAAACCTCAAGCATCCGGGAAAGAATCAGCACCGTCCTCCACCGCAAAATCGAATGGACCTCATTGATCAAAATGGGAAAAGAATGGATCAGAAACCCTATCAACATGGCTCTCTTCCTCTGGATCCTCGTCGTCGCCGTCTCCGGAGCCATTCTCTTCATGGTCATGACTGGGATGTTGAACCATGCTTTACCGAAAAAGTCAGACAGAGACGCTTGGTTTGAAGTTAACAATCAGATCCTCAACGGGTTGTTTACTTTGATGTGTTTGTACCAGCATCCGAAACGGTTTTACCACTTGGTGCTTCTCGTTAGGTGGGGGCGTGAGGATGTTACTAAGCTTAGGAAAGTTTATTGTAAGAATGGGAGTTATAAGCCTCATGAGTGGATGCATATGATGGTTGTTGTGCTTTTGCTTCACTTGAATTGTTTTGCTCAGTATGCGCTTTGTGGGCTTAACGTTGGGTTTAGAAGGTCTGAGAGGCCGCCTATTGGTGTTGCTGTTTGTATCTCTGTTGCTATTGGTGCTCCTGCTGCTGCAGGGTTGTATACTATGCTTAGTCCACTTGGGAAAGATTATGATGATGATGGTGGGAGTGTGGATGAGGAGAATCAGCTCCAAGGGGGTGTGAATCGGAGGGTTAGTTTGGAGAGGAGGTATTCTTTTGCTTCTGGTTCTGGTTCTGTTGTTGATGGGAATAGGATGGTTCCTGTGAGTGATCCTCAGTGGAGTGGTGGAGTTTTGGATATTTGGGATGAGATTTCCTTGGCTTATCTTTCTTTGTTTTGTACTTTCTGTGTGTTTGGATGGAATATGGAGAGAGTTGGGTTTGGGAATATGTATGTTCACATAGCAACGTTTATTCTGTTTTGTTTGGCTCCTTTCTTTATATTCAACTTAGCTGCTGTTAATATAGATAACGAGACGGTTAGGGAGGCGCTTGGGGTATCTGGAATCTTACTTTGTGTGTTTGGTTTGCTCTACGGTGGATTTTGGAGGATCCAGATGAGGAAGAGATTTAAGTTGCCGAGTTATAAGTTCTGCTTTGGAAACGCTGCGGTTGCTGATTGTACGCTTTGGTTGTTCTGTTGCTGGTGCTCTTTGGCTCAGGAGGTTAGGACTGTAGACTCTTATGAGATAGTGGAAGATAAGTTCTGTCAAATAGCGCAGCAAGAGAAGAGTTTGGTGTCGCCTCTGCCTCGTGAGGACGGTGTGTTTGATCCTAAGATTGGTGTAGGGAGCTCACCGAGGGAGATGAGTGGAGCTAACTCTCCTAATCCGAGTAGGTTTTGGAAAGAGGTGCATAGTCCGAGTGTACAGACGCCTAGAGAGAATGATGAAGTTAAAAACGAGGTTGTTCTGACTCCGCCTTCTCCTCTGTCTATACACAGAGAAGCTTGATTTGAAGAACCATGGAGTCCTGATTCCAGTGGTTGTTTTCCTTACTTACAAGTCTCTTTGATTGTTTCTGTGTAACAACGTTTGATGGAAACCGGTTTTGTCATTTGAGTTGTGTAGTACCCATATCTGTTTCCGGTTTATTACTTTCCTGGTTTCGTGTTCTTTGTAATGTAAATTCTTCAGCTACGGCCACGTTTCTATAAACTGAGTTTTTATGCGAACTATGTGGTGCCTTTGCTTGCTAGCCTTGCTTTTTTATTGCGGGTTCTGGTGAAAATGCCGGTTAAATCCTATTCTAAGCCAAGATGTGTCCGGTTTTGTATAACGCTTTGATGTTGGGCCATTTGGATTATTCGATATAGAAAGTAGGGAGGAATTATAGTATGGCCCATTACACAAGGACCGACACATAACAAAACTGAAAAACCCAAAGAGTTTTTTTTTTGGTAAGAAAAGAGTGCAGTACATCAAATAGCATCGATTATATGAAGTTTAAAAATTAGTTTTGATTGATTATTCATGTTTTTCTTTGCTGTGTATAAATTATACACTAATCAAAACGTCACAGAATCGAATAAAATCAAACTAAATAATATCGGCACGTTTGCAAGTCTGGCCTCCAAATCAAACTAAATAATATCGGCAAGTTTGCAAGTCTGGTCCAGGTTTATTCTTAGGCTTAATGTAATACATAATTGATCTCACATATATAGACAACAACATTTACAAAATATCTTATAAGATCGGTAGTGGTGTTCTCCATCTGCTTTATTAAATATTCCATTAACTTTAACAAAAGATTTTGGACCAAAAAGAAAACTTTAACAAAACATAAGTAAACATATTTTGTCATAAATTGTTATTTTAGACTAAGTTCACTATCATTAAGCAATATAGGAATTAGGCGTCGCTGTCAGAAGAGTTGTTTTCGTTGAAACCCACTTCAGAATTCCACTAACGTTTAATTAATTATTTGTTTGTGTAATAAACCATATTTACATATATTTATATATTTCAAAGCTTGCCTTTGTGAATTGTGATCCTTTTTAAAACTCGATTAGTTTATTTATGTAGGGCTTTCGGTATTTGATTTGAGGCCATTATCAACGTTTGATCACCCTTTCAAACATTTTTTTAACGTATAAATGTATTACAATGAGTAACCGGACGTGTCATGGTCACAGATGTCCCCACTCTGCTTTACTTGAACCCTTTGAATGACATGTGTGATGGTGATTGTGCATTACACTGCCGTTGAAACTTCTGTTATTGGATGGCGGGGCCAACACACACACTAGTTGAAGAGGTTTCTTTGCAGATTTATTAATTACTCTACCAATCATTTACTACACCAGTAATAATTTATGCTAATGAATAGTTACCGTGAAAACTCACCCATTATTATCAAACATCAACAAGTTAGTTGAATTTTATGCTATATAAAATAAAGAAACAATTCTTTCTCAAATAAAAAAAAGTCAAGATATTTACCAGTAGCGAATTCAGTTAACCTATTAATTAATTAAACGGTAAGATCAAACATTAGCTGACTCGACATTTAAAGGAACTTTATCGCGGGGCCCCACAAACCATATTAACCTAATCATTAATGACACGTGTCAAAATAAATCAAAATATCCTACAACTTTAAAAATAGGATGTGATGCAGAGAATCAAAACCCCAGCCCCATCGCCTACGGCTATATAAACCCCATATTCATCACAAACAATTTTTAAAAAAACTTAAACCTTCCTTCTTCTCTTAATCCATCTCCTAATCCAATCTTTATAATCCCAAAAACTCTTCAAGAACTGGATACTCTGGCGGATTCAGAGACCAAGAACCGAGACGTGGTTCTGAAACTGTATGACGCCCTGAGATCTCGCGACGTCGAATCCGTTCACAAGACCCTAACCCAAGACCTCGACTACTGGTTCCACGGTCCACCGCCACATCAGTTTTTGATGCGCACGCTCACCGGCGTCTCTCCGCCGTTCGAATTCGCGCCTCTCTCCGTCGTCTCCTTCGGTTCCACCGTCATCGCCGAGGGCTGCGACGTTGCCACCTCCGTCTCGTGGATCCACGCCTGGACCGTGTCGCATGGGGTGATCACTCAGGTGAGGGAGTACTCTAACACTTCGCTCACGGTCACGAGGATCGGTGACGTCGTCGCCGGAAGGTCTGCCGAGATTAAGCCGTCGCATTGTCCGTCTGTTTGGGAGAGTAAGTTCTCGGGTCGGGCGGGTAAATCCGTACCCGGTTTGGTTCTCGCGATTTGAGGATTTAACGGCCACGTCAGGGGATTGATATTACTAAATAAAAGGCGGGTGCTTACGTGTCGGTGTCTTGTTGGTTTGTTGTTTTATGGGTTGAGAGGATTTGTGCGGTTGAGACGCGGTGTGGGGTAACGCTATAAAGGTCGCGGTTTGGTCGTCGCTATTTCTTCTTTATTATTTGCTTTAAATTCGTGCGTTTGTGTGTTTTAGTGCGTACTACAAGCATGGGGAAACCCATATTGACTTGTGCCGTTGTGTCTGATGTAACGTTTGGCTATGTTATAATAAAGTGCTTTTGGGATCTTATTCTATTCGTTAGACGTTATAATAGAATACGAGGTGTGCTGCATTTGTTGACAAACAAGATAAAAAACTGCCCATTACATATCTCTGAGTGGGGATAAATTGTGAAAATTTGTGTATGTATAGCTTTACTGTTGTTTATTTTTATCATGAAGTTGAGTTTATGAAGATGAACATTCTAAAAACAACAATTACTGAAGATATTAAAATTACTGTTCCTCAATAATGTATTTGGTTTAAAAGTCCGGTTCCAGAGCACTCTGGGAAATCTAGATACATTACCCATCGGGGTCAAATTGGCTTCTTGGAGATTTCAACTCAACATCTCATGCTGTTTATGTTCAAGGGAACCTGAGACAAGAGACTATATATGGTTTTAACTTGTCATTCCAGGAGGGACGTTTTGAAGCAAGCTCTGCTTTGTTTTTATTTTATTTTTTTTGCGGAGTTTTATAGATTGTACTTTTTAAATCTGAAAATCATTAATTTCATATTAGCATTCTTAGCAAAAAAAAAATGGTATCTCATTATTCTGTTTTGTTTGGCATAGGAGAGAAAATATAATATAAAAAATTGTATCCCTTTGGTTATGTTATTACTGAACTAAAAAGTGTTTTCGGAGCTTATAGAACGTTTTATATGTACTTGGAAGTTCTGCATATGTATATGTAAGTTATCAAACAAAAAAATATGATACGAAAATAAAAGCTGCCTGTTAGTTCAAACCTCTGTGCGGATTAGCTGTGAATTTGTGTATCTACAGCTCTACTTGTTTTTAGTTTGACTGACTAACAAGTTGAGTTTATTGCTTAGTATTTAGAAATTGTTAAATATTAGTACATATATATATTTTTTTACTAATATCCCCATTACAATGTATCTCTCATGCATAATAATTTAAAAGTGATTAGGTACGTGAGACTTCAATTTATTTAGGGAGTTTGATGTCCCTCGGGAAAAGTACTTAGGTTTCGAAAATTGTTGAGATTTTAATAACTTTTGCATTTGGTAACGGAACATATAAGTATAACGTTTATTATTGTTTTTTTTTCTTTTTTTGAACAACAAGTATAACGCTTATTATATATAACCGTGGACGCAAACAATAGCAAAAGATAATTAATTGTGAAAGAGAAAGAATCGAAGGAAGCAACGAGGAAGGTCTCTCATGCGTCTTTTTGTGGATGGGGACACGCAATTATCTTTTGGCGTCATAAGGACAAAATGGTGTGCCCCCAATTATCTATCTTTTGGCGTCATTAGGTCAAAATGGTGTGACAGTAAAATGATGTTAACAGAACTAATAAGAAAAACTAATTGACTGGAAGATAAAACCAAGAAAAGTCATTCGTATTTAATTTGATTGTGATAATATCGACATGCACTGAACTAGTTGTGTGTTGGATAATGTCCCCATGCCCATGGAAGGACAAATTATTATATATATGGTTTGGAAATGTGTGCTATCCCTCTTCAAATTCTCAGTTCCCAATTCACGACAACTAACAATTATGGATTCTTAATCTCAGTATTGGATACATAAGTGATTTCAATCAGTTTGATGTAAAGTTCTATAGATTATATATATATATATATATATACACGTGAGCAAATGGATACGGAACTGAAGTATAATTACTAATTTACAACCTATTTTCTGATCTTATTTTGAACAAGAATGTCTATTAGAAACCAGCTAACGTAAGTTAAAAAAAAAAAGAACAGATAATTTGGCAAGAAATTTGGTTTTATTAGGCCATTTAAGTAACCGTTGAGCCACTCTAATGACATCTACCGATTTTCTTAAAACTGAATTTTAGGCATGCATGCGTTTCTAAAGTCTCATATACATTGACATATAAAAAGATGGGTTATAGATGAATAAGTAGATTACGCAGCCAACTTTTCCTTGGAAAGATATTTGTGATCACTTAAAACCACTTTGTCTACCCGTTTTCTATAAGTTGTTTGATCATAACCGAACCAAATTTAATAAACATGACATGTGATGATTCCTCTACTATGCAATTAGATCATTTAGTAGGAATATTTGTAGAGGTAATTTAATGAAGTCTGTGTGTGTGACCTTGGTGCGGATGAAGTGGGGAAAATTCTGGTAGCCTCAAGTAGAAAAGAAATATGATATAAAGAAGAATCATATATCCATAAATTATAATAGTAACAAAATCTCTACTTTATTTAACCTAGACTAGTAAAATCATTTACATATATTGGTTTATTATATTTAACATTTTCATTTTCTCTTTTAACATTCCACTTCATTTTCTTTTTGTTCCACCTATTTTTAACATCTATTTTATATTAATCTTCATAATAATTTTGTTTGATAAAATTTAATGATATATCCCACACTTTTTATTCATATCTTATAATTTAATAATTATTCTCTTGACATCAAATATGTAATGGTTCGCTTGACATCATTATTTTCGAGGAGTTGTTTGAGGAAGGAGGGAATATGTTGAGATAAGCGGTGAAGAGAAGAGTCTTGGCTTCGTTGTAATTATGGTTAGATCGTTTTCGCTGCGTTTTTGGTTTTCTTGTTGAGATTTTCATTGCAGTAGATTTTCAGGATTGAGCACATAACTTGTTTATGTTTCCTTCATTATGGAGATGAGGGTGGGTTTAAAGATCAAAATGGTAAAAAAAAAAAAGGTAACTAAGAGATGGAGATGAAAAGACAAGAAATATAAATAGTAAAGGGAATGTCTGGTTTTTCTCAAACAATGAATGACAGAGTGAAGTTCAATAGTAAATAGAAGAGACGACGCATCATGATCTAAGCTTCAAAGTGAAGTTTGTTCTCTTTAGGTTAAGGGCTTCAGAATAACACGCAGCTCCTGAATAACACGCAGCTTCAGAATAACACGCAGCTCCAAAAAAAAAANAAAAAAAAAAAAAAAAAAAAAAAAAAAAAAAAAAACACGCAGCTCCAGTACAAAACAAAATTTTTAAAGAAAAGTAAATTCAAAGCAGCAGTGACATATCAATTTATGACTCTCTGATTAGTTTAAATATATAATCTAACGTGGATAGACTCACAAAACTTTATATTCACCTTTTAATATTGTTAGATGATGATGATAATAATAATAATAATAATAATAATAATAATAATAATAATAATAATAATAATAATAATAATAATAATAATAAAAAAAAAAATAGAGTGAAAAAGAAGTTTATGCTAGGGAAAGAAGAATATGAGTGAATGGGCCGAAGTTAAATTGAAGACCCAACGAGGAGGATAGTTACGGCCCAAAACGAGGTGGAGATGAGACTATATAAACAAAGACTAAAAATTCGAAATCAAAATATCTTCATCGCCTCACTCTCGAAAAACCTAACGCAGCAGCCGCCATGGACGAATCCGCGAACAAAGTAATTCTTCTTATCGATATCTCAATAAATTGTTTATATTTTTTCTTTTCTTACTGATTAGATCGATTGTAACAACGTAACGTAGGGTCTGGAATCGGAGGGTAGCGGCGCAAAGATTCCAAAATCCAAGTTCGTTTCTCTTTCTGAGATTTGTATCTGTAATTAGATATATAGATCATGTGTTGTTGTTGTTGTTGTTATCTCACGGTGATTGATTAATTAAGTCCTTTGCTACAGCCATGTGTTAAGATGGTCCGCGAGACCTAGGCCAGCATACCTGGAGGAAAAAGTAATTATTCTTCTTCGATCCTTATCATCGATTTCTCCAATTAGTTGTTTCTTCATATCTGATTAGATCTTATCTACTTTTAGGATGTGGATTTGAACCCTAGTTATGCAGGGAGCAGGTTCGTCTCTCTTTTTTGAGATTTCTATATCTGATTATATACAGAGATCATTCGGTAATTAATATAGACCTTAAATGGATGAGAACTTTTACTATATCTAAGTTTGTTGTTTCTTTCTGAGATTTGTATCTGTAATTAGATATAGATCATGTGTTGTTGTTGTTGTTTATCTCACGGTGATTGATTAATTAAGTCCTTTGCTACAGCCATATGTTTAGATGGTCCGCGAGACCTAGGCCAGCATACCTGGAGGAAAAAGTAATTATTCATTCTTCGATATCCTTATCATCGATTATTTCTCGAATTAGTTGTTTCTTCATATCTGATTAAATCTTATGTACTTTTAGGATGTGGATTTGAACGCTAATTATGCAGGGAGCAGGTTCGTTAATTAATTAATTATATACAAGAGATCATTAGGTAACTAATTATTTAGTTAATATCCTTTGCAAAATATATAGCATTATTAGCAGGATGGTGGTCACGGGATACGACACCTCCCCTCCTTTGAATGATAGTGTTGTGGAAATGGCTCTGAAAAAACACTTTGCATCATTTGGAATAAAGTTAATACATGCTTCTGTTCCCGTAGACATGCACAGTCTTATTCTCTGCAGGTTATGTGCCTTCTTCCTCCAGCCTGATCGCTCTCATGCTAGCTGCTTAATAGTACCTATGATAATCTTTGTGTGTGTGTTTTTTTCTTTTACAGTCACGCCTTAATCTATGTTTATGAAGAATTTGAAGCAGATGTGTTGAAGCTTAGTGGAAGTGACATGGGAGGAGGATGTGTTTTAGAAATTACGGCTTACCCTTTTGACAACGACAATAGCATTCACCATGTCTTTGCTCATCTCAAATACGACTACCGACAGCGCACGTACGTAAATTGATTTTTTCTTTCTTATTTATTAATGGAGAATTTTGATAATAAATATGATCTCCTGCTGCTATATTTCTTTTAGGTTGTCCATTCAAGGATTTGATACTTCCCTTGAAGAAGATGCTGTCGAGAAGATGCTACGTGAGATTATCCCTTTATCCAGTCCTATAGTTGTCAATGACGGGTGTGTTTTCTTCCTCCCACTATAGTTCAGTTTGCTGGTTAATTTTATCAGTTGCTAACTAAACCCAGCCTTTTTTTTTTTTCTTTTTTTTTTTAGTGTTCGCTGCACAGCTTTGCTTCATCTCCGTGGACAAGATTATGTGGACAAGGCTCTGCAACTTAGCGGAGGTTCTTTGTTAGGCTCTAACATTGCAGTTACTGAGGTCCTCCAAAAAAGACCGGCCCCGGCTGGCTTATGTCCCGCAAGTACGTTAACCTTTATTTGATTCTCTATTCTTTTTTTCTTTTTTTTTCTGTCTTTGAGAAACAAAAGTGTAAAATAACTTTTATTCATTGCTTTTGTTTGTTTCAGGGAAGGTGGCTTTGGGCTGATGAGGAAGATTAAACCAATTTTGTTTTGTTAAAAAGATTAAAATAGATGTTAACATTTTCTTTTTTTTTTAACGTCTAATCTGATCTTATTAATATATCGATATACAAGTAGAGTTATAGAATCTTTTACAAAACAATGGAATACAAATTATTACATAAGCAGAAATATGCGACATATACTGAAGACAAATCATTTGTAGAAGTGAAGATTGACGTTGCTTTCTTTTACGGTAAGCCTTACACGCTAACAGAATATGTG